ATGAAAACAAGAGACCTGATTTGGGAGGAGGTTATAGGTAAAATGGAAAAAAGACTAAACTTTTGGAAACAAAGAGATTTGTTTTTAAAAGGGAAAGTATTGGTTTTAAATTCTTTATTTCTGTCTAAGATGTGGTATATTTTAAGTGTGGTTAGTCTGCCAGCATGGGCGTACATAAGAATACAAACTGCAAAAATAGCATTAGCCACAATAATTGGGGAGGTGGAAAAGGGAGGTTTGAGACTCATAGATCCGAGGAAATTGAAGAGGCCATAGACCAGTTGAATAATGGGAAAAGTCCAGGCCTAGATGGCTTAACATCTGAGTTTTATAAGGTTTTTAAAAATGTTTTAACACCTATTCTTCACAATTTATTTGCTGACATTTTTAAGCAGAAACAATTGAGTGAAAGCATGAAGAAAGGAATAATAAAAATCATCTATAAGAATAAAGAGGATAAAGAAGATCTTAAAAATTACAGACCGTTGAGTATGCTAAATACTGACTATAAGATTTTGGCTAAGATCTTGGCAAATAGACTGAAAAAAGTGATTCCAAATATTATAACAACAAATCAGGCATATGGTGTCTTAAATAGAGATATATCAGACATAGTAACAAATATTAGAGACCTAATGTGGTATATGAAAGAAAAAGGGGAAGGAGGATATTTAATTAGCATAGATTTGGAAAAAGCTTTCGACAGAGTAGAGCATAAATATTTGTTTGACTTAATTGAAAAATTTGGGTTTGGGAGGAATTTTATAACATGGATGAAATGTTTCTATACTGACATTTTAAGTTGTGTTAAAGTAAATGGGTTTTTAACTGATTCTATTGCGATTTCAAGGTCTATAAGGCAGGGATGCCCATTATCGGCATTACTTTATACTTTAGTTGCTGAACCGTTAGGAATAGCAATAAATAAAGAAAAACAGATAAAAGGAATTTCAGTGGAAAATTATGAAATGCAGCAAAAAATATTTCAATATGCAGATGACACGACTTTGTTTTTAAAAGATTTAAAGAGTATTGAAAAAGCAATATTAATATTTGAAAAATATTGTGGAGGAACAGGAGCTAAAGTCAATAAAGAAAAGACTGAATATATGAGGATAGGGAAGGTAGATACTTTAGAAAGAAAATGGGAATTTAAAGAGCAGAGGAATGAATTAAAGATTTTAGGGGTTACATTTGGGAAAGATGAAATGAAAACAAGAGACCTGATTTGGGAGGACGTTATAGGTCAAATGGAAAAAAGACTAAACTTTTGGAAACAAAGAGATTTGTTTTTAAAAGGGAAAGTATTGGTTTTAAATTCCTTATTTCTGTCTAAGATGTGGTATATTTTAAGTGTGGTTAGTCTGCCAGCACGGGCGGATAAAAGAATAAAAACATATATGTTAAAGTTTTTATGGGATGATAAGCCTGCAAAAATAGCATATGCCACAATAATTGGGGAGGTAGAAAAGGGAGGTTTGAGACTCATAGATCCAATGGTAAGAATGAAGAGTATGAGAATAAAGACGATAAAAAAGTTTTTGAATAATGATGATATGGTATGGAAAAAAATAATGAGTTTCTTTATAAATAAGTGTGGGGAAATGGGGGATGATTTTTTGTGGATGAATTTTAAAGATAATATGCTTGAGAAGATACCTGAATTTTATAAAGAAGTCTTAAGAGCATGGAAAGTTTTTTAAGAGAATGTTTACGTGGAGTTTAAAGGAGGAGATCAACTATTGAAACAGCCCCTTTTCTTAAACAAATTAATTACAAGAAATAGAAATATATTTTTTTATAAGAATTGGTATTATGCAGGACTAAGACAAGTAAAAGACATTTTATATGAGGTAAAACCAGGATTTTTACCTATACAGGCAATTATAGACACATTAGAGGAGAATGAAGATATAGAAAACAGACAGTTGATTAAGGAACAATACATACAATTAAAAGAAGCTGTGCCACTACAATGGATTAAAGGCATTGAAGATAAAGAAAGAGGAAATGAGAAACCTGAAATATTTTTTTAAAGAAATAATGAACAGATTCCTTTCAATGGCTGTGTTCTTAAAATGTTATATGTTAGTACAGTGGTGTGAAAAAGTGCTGGCCCCCTTCTCTTGTATTTTTAAGACCAAAAGCAATTGATTTTTGGGAAAGGTTTCTTTGTGATCTAGATGTAACAAAGATTTGGAAAAATGTAAGATGGAAATTTAAAAGTCCCATATTGGATAATTTAGATTTCTTGTTGAGACACAATGTTTTAATGACTTAAATGAAATTGGCAAAAATTGGAATGGCACAAGATGCAAAATATAAATTATGTATGGAAAAATATGAAGGAGTGTTACATTTGTTTTTAAAATTTAAAAAAAATTGAACATTTTATGAAGATGTTAAGGAAAATTGTGGGGGATTTTTTAAGTGATCAGAATGATTGGTTAGAGGAATGGGAAACATTGTATTTATTTGGCTTTAATGGAAAAGCAAAAAATGTGTATGCTTTAAATGTATGGTTAACAGTAGCAAGATATACGATTTGTAGACAAAGGAATATAATTGAATTGAAGAAAAAATAACTGTTATTGTGTAGCTTATTTAAACAGTATTTGACTGCAGTGATAGAGGACATATATGATTATTTTAATATGAATGGACAAATGGATGTATTTAACAAATATATTGTAGAAAATAACCCATACATTGTAAAAACATGGTCTGGTTTTAATGTAATTTTAACTAAAATGTTCTAACTTTTTTTTGTTTGTTTTTTTGTTTTGTGAATATACTTCAAATGTAAGGATGTGAATGTATGAAATTTGTGTAATTGTAATAAAAAAAAAAAATAAAAAAAAATAAAAAAAAAAAGGAGGACTGTTGGCAATCCTCAGGTCGCTGGTTCGACTCCGGCTCGAAGGAGGTCTATTTTCAAATGCCCACCTTTTTTCTTGTTTGGCTGGGTTTCTCGCAGCTGCAAGCAGAGCTTAACTTCACAGCAATTCTGGCCTTTGTCACGTCGAAAACCAACGAGTCTGGTGCAATCGCGAGGCACTTCTGTCGGTGGGCCTGTGGCGCTTCATGTCACCTGTAGGTCGTGGTTAATCTTTGTTATGACAGCCAATTACGTTCCCGGCTGCAACCATGAAACGTATGCTACTGCCAATCAGCGCTCGTATCGCAACCACGATTTCGCCCAGTAACAACAAAATTGGCCAATCAGCGCTCGTTCTGCATCCGTGATTCTTCGTAGTAACAACAAGTAGATCAATTGATCAATTATTGTCAAGAATCCCCGAAAGACTTGCGGATTACGGCTGGAGAAGAAGATAACGGTCATCGATTAACTTCTGACCAACATTTGCAATGTAAGTGAGTCTTTTATCAATAAAAAAGTAACACTTACAATACTGGTGCACAAATATGCATTAACTGATGAAGGACTAACCCATTTATTAATGATTACTACATCAGCAACTAATAAACATTCTTTATAATTCATAGTTTAAGTAATAAATAAATTGTTATCAGTTAAATGTACTATAATGTATTAGTTCCGTAATAACATATTATTAACTAATGATGTAAATGTATATGTTAATTACCACAGTGTACTTCAACTTCCAGTTGTCTGCTTTAATTAATCATTAGCTAATGATTTGCAAAGGAATCATTATGTTATGACTTTACTTGTTGAGGCAAAGAACTATTAACTAATTGTTAATATGTTATTGTGGTTATTTTTTTCAATGAGTTAGTTAGTCGTGTGCCTCAACAAGTAACGTTAAAGTAATAACATAATGATATCTTTACAAATCATTAGCTAATGATTAATTAAAGCAGACAACGGGAAGTTGAAATGGCACCTAATCATGTTGAAATGCATGGCTTGTGGTAATTAACATATGAATTTACACTATTAGTTAATATAATATGTTATTAGGGAATTAATACATTATGACACATTTAACTAATAACAATTTATTCATTACTTTATCTATGAATCATATAGAATGTTCATTTGTTGCCGATGCAGTAATCATTAATAAATGGTTTGGTCCTTCATGAGTTATATATTAAGTCATGATTATCTGTGCATCAATTAAGCATGAAATAATGCATATTAGTGCCAGCATATTGTAAAGTGAGTTGTGTTATTATGTTACCATAAAAATAAAGTGGCAAATATATAAAGTTGTTTTGAATGAATAACCTGTAGCTCAGACAAGCTAATAATTCAGGTAATTAATAGAAACTATTATTAAAAAATAAAGTATTTTATATTTTTATAGATTAGCCGACCAAGCAGAATATAAAGTATATAACGTTACAGTTTAATACAGCTTTACCAGCTGCAACATTAAAATGATTCTTACACATTAATGCATCACTAATTTTAATCCAATAATATAATATACATTATGCTTCTACTTTTAGTACTTTAAGTATATTTGAATATACAAAACTAAAATTTTGAATGCATGACCTTTACTTGTAATAGAGCAGAGGGCTTCAAAGTGGGGAAAATAGTTTTAGGGGAGGTTCAGTGAATGGAAGTGAAAAATTTGTCTTCAAAAGGAAATCACATAGAATAGACTGAACTTTCCCTTACCCACTACCCATTACTTGAAAAATCATCTGTCTCAGGTGGGACAAAAGTTATATTTTATGGTATAATAATTATTGAAAAAATTACCTCTTACTCTGGGATAATTCTGATATGTTAGCCAACATTTTGAGCTTGTTGGAAAATATTTACACAAACAAAGCGTAATATAAAATCAACATTACAAGGTGATCATGAGTAAATATAGTAATATAATATACGCCGCTGCGTTAACTAATGTGTTACCAAATGTGTTTGTCTGTTTCTCTATAGTCTTTATGTCTTCATTTTTTAAAAATTAGATGGAACCTCGCTTCAGGAGAAGGGCTGATGGCAGCCTGAATCTGACTGATACAGTGGAAGCGGCAAAGGTGAAGGAAGGCAACAAAGCAAAGCCATACACAAGACCCCTGTCCCCGGAGAAAGTGCTGGACAAAGCCAAGAAAAGCTTAAGTCAGCACCACGGAGATCTGTCTAACAGAAAGCACCTGTTGGGTTTCTTTGAAATCCAGTTTGGTGTATTTCGCGGGCAAACATTTAGGTGGGTGGCTGAAAATGCCCTGGGGTATGCTGCTTACCTGGTGGCAGCTATGAAGAGGGACCCCACAGGAGGCAGCAAAGACTCCCAAGAACATGCCCACAACAAGGGGAGTTTCAGGGAGTATTTTGAGCTCTTTCCTTCTGGCAGAATTGCCATTGCCATGAAGGAAGAGCAATATGCTGGGAAAGCTCCCCAGCATGCTGCTGACTTCCAGCACGCTGCCCCCACAGAGTTCACTGCCCCCACCCAGCTCACTCCCCCCACCCAGCACGCTACCACCACCCATACTTCCACTGCCTCTCTCCGCTCCCTCTTGGTTAGGAAGTTGCCTAACCAGAAAAACCTGACCAAGACTGTAGAAAGGCTGATTTCCCCCCTCAAAGTCGCACCTTGTAAGCAAACATTTATTTGTATAACACTTTTTTGGTTTGTTTAGTATTTATTGCTGTTCAGTAGTCATGTTTATCAGTTTGTCCTGTGTTTTTTTGTAGCTTTGGCCCAGGCACGTGCGCGGCCCTCAGCCACCCTCACCCACCCGACTGTGTCCATTGAGACAGCCACAGGGCCTTCAGTCACCCTCACCTGTCCGACTGTGCCCATTGAGGCAGCCACAGGGCCCTCAGCCACCCTCACCCACCCCTCTGTGTCCACTGAGATAGATGACAGCACACTGCTGGCAGAGGCAGCTAAGTTTGAGGAGGCATATGTGGCATGTACGTTTATACTTATTTAAAGTATTCAAAGTTTCCTTTCCAGGGATAATAAAGTAAAGTGAAGCAATGTGAATTTGCATTTGTTTATTTATGTGTTTATTTTCTGTTTTTCTTTTTCTTTTCTTTTTCAGCACGACGAGTCTGTCTTCCGGCTGGATGGACACACACCCTGCCTGAAGTGGACCAGAGGTGGATCTCCAAGGCCCTGTTTAGGTGGACAGCACAGGGGCATCCTGAGCTGATCTTTAGTAGGGTGGACAAACTTTGGTGGTATCCTCCACAGGTGCCGCTGAAGACCAGTAATTCTCCTTCCTTGGAGAATTACTTTGGCCATCGCCTGCTGCTCTGGATGCCACGAAAACTGTGGCAAGTGAAGTTGACCTGTCCACATCCAGACTGTCAAAAAGAACTTCTGACCTCAGCTGGCTTGCATCAAAAGATCAGGCAGGTGGTTGCCATGGGTGAGATGTACTTTGTGGCATCTGAGTACCTGGCCTGCCGAAGATGTAAGAGGAAGGTCATCAGCTGGAGCCATGATCTCGTCTCCCAACTCGACATTGGCCACAGGGTGCAGTTCCCTTGCATTCTTACATCAAAACTTGCATGTGACTTCGAGGTAGTAACTTTGATGCGTCAGCGAGGGCTGGGAAACAGCAGCAGCCAGATCCAGCGCAAGCTGCAGGAGCGTCATGCTGATGTCTGGTTGCAAAAGACAGTCCAGTATCTGACAGATTGCAAGGGGATTGCCAGTGCTGTCATGTCGAGCCTGATCCTGCCTGTGACATTTGAACCTGCTCCTTCAATGCCTTCTGTCCCTAAGCACCGATGGCTGATGCAGGTGTATGCCCAGGATGTCCTGCAAAGGCTGGATGAGATCAAGGCCACTATCACATCACAATATGGTCGGATCTTAAAAATGGATTCTACAAAAAAAGTGTCCAGAAAACTAGCAGGACGCAGCTATGGCACTGCTACTTGGGCAACTAATGTTGGCAATGAGCATGGACAGGTGATCATGTCCGTGCTCACAGCCAGTGAAGGATTTGGTCTCGGGCCAATGATTGAAGGCCTTATCAAGCGATACAGGGTGGCCGGGGTGGCTCCTCCCGAAGTACTGTATGTCGACCGAGACTGCTGTGGCAACACTCTTTTGAGGAGGATGTTTGAAGAGTGGGAGCAAATGACCATCCGGTTAGATGTATGGCACTTCATGCGGAGGTTTGCTGTGGGTTGCACCACCGACTCTCACCAGTTGTATGCCACATTTATGAGTGGCCTCAGCCACTGTATTTTCATGTGGGACCAGCTCGACCTGACGGCCCTGAAGACGGCGAAGCATGCAGAGCTAGAAGCTGACGGGAAACCATCATCCGAGGCTGATGTGCTGCGCTGTATCAGTCGTAGCGAGCTAGCACTACATTGCAGGAGAACCACTCGCGGGACCAAAGAGACCCTGGCGCTTATTGAGAGCCATATTCAGGCCTTCGATGGAGATGCTGGTCGTGACACTCTGGGAGTCCCACTAATAAACTCAGCCCGGATGAGAGAGATTTTAAAGTCCCAGCGTAAGCACGTGGCCTGCATCCAGGATCCTGTCGGTGTGTAGCTCTACATGCAGACGGGTACCTTATTGAAGGGAGGGCACCGCGTGCCAACCTACCGCTGTGCCAGAGGTTCCACTTCGCTTGAGTCAT